TAAGCAATGATGAAAATAAGGAGAAAATGATCAAATAAAAAGGATAAAAGGGCAAAAATATTTACAATAACGCTGGTAATTATGATAATAATAATAATGACAATAATATCAGTGCTTGGGCTGTGAAGTGAGCACTGGCAGATGCTTCCCCAAGAGCTCAATATGGGAGATCTCCCTGGAGATCAGCTCTGCTGGTCAGATGTCCCCAGAGAGGACGGGAGGGACACACGGAGCAGCAGGACGGGAGGGACTCACTTGAAGTAGCGGTTGGGTTTGTAGTGCACCTTCATGTGGGCCATGAGGTCCTGCATGCTGGGGAAGGTCTCGCTGCAGCCCAGGGTGGGGCAGTGGAAGGTTTTGCCTGGGCAGAGGAATTCGGAGAGAGATTCAGCACCAGCCCAGGGGGGAAAGCCCCGCTGCTGGGGCTGCAGCACCTCCCGGCTGCCCCCACTCCCATCTCATCTCCCACCACCAGCTCTGCCTCTGCCCTGAGCCCTGCTCTGCCCCTTCCCTTCCACGTGGCGTGTCCTGGCCTTACCCTCGAGGGACTGCGTGGGTCTGTAGTGGACCTTCAGGTGGTCCATCAGCTCCTGCATGCTGGGGAAGGCCAGTTTGCAGCCGTAGCTCGAGCACTGGTAGTGTTTCCCTGCAAGGACACAGATCCGTCGGCCTTGTCCCCGCCCCGGCTGTCGCTGTCCCCTCCCCGGGGCGGGGCTGGCCTCACCTGGGACAGGTCTGCGCTTCAGCGGCCGCAGCTCCGGGGCCGGGGTCCCTCCGCTCCCCGCCACCGGCATCGGGGCACCGGGCAGGGCTGGGTCACTGCAGCCTGCGGGGAGAGGTGGTGAGGTTCGGCCCTGCCAAACCAGCCCCCATCCCTTAGCCCTGCCAAACCAGACCCCTGCCCTCCCCATCCCTTCAGGACAGGGGAATGGGCCCCGGGGGCTGGAGCCCCCAGGGTGTGAGGGCTGGGAGGGGCTGTGCTCTAGGGAAGGCTGACGCTGGCTGGAACACGCTGGGTGATTCCACCTGCGCACCCAGGCACGCCCTGGCACACCTGGGCACATCCCCATGGAGGGGTTCGGCCAAAGGGACCTCCCAGCCACAGGACCAAAGGTTTCCCCTGTTCCTGCC